TAGTCAAAAGGAAAAGTAAATATAATTTTTTAAAGAAAAAAAAAAACTAACGAAAAGTAGAATAAAACTGTAAAGAGATATTTCAAACTTAGTCTGACGCAGGGACACAAAAGCAAGGCGCCGCTTGAAAATTCGAATTGAAGGCATTATCGTATCTACTGTAGCGAAGATTTTGCTAAGACACCGTTTACAAATACCAGATGTAAAGGATGGATATTTTCTGAGTGTAAATGATATAGTTTACAATAAAAAGAGGGGAAAGTGGATTTTAAGCAGACTGTGATCTAAAATAAAATTGTTACAGTGTAACCCGGATATAAGAGAAACCCGGATATAAGAGAGATTTTCTCTGGTCCCTGTGTTAATGTATATAAAATAGACCAAACCCGGATATAAGAGACTTCTTCTCCGGTCCCGACAACTCTCTTATATCCGGGTTACACTGTATTTATATTTGAGTCGTACAAATTAACAAAGAGATTTACCCTAAACCCAATAAATCAAATAATTACCTACATATTGTAGTCAGCGGTTTCGCGAAGTATTGCAAGAACAGAATAACGTGATCATTCTTTTCAAAATTCCACTACATTCGCAAGGGAACACACAAGAAAATATTTGCAGATACGAAGTACAACCAGGACCAGGTTATGATCTTTTGGGGGTCCTTTAGGCTAATGAAATTATGATCACAACTCGTTACTCAGACGGAGCAAAATCTCTAATTCGTTCGCACCAGTCTTGAATAGTTTTTTTTTTTTTTTTTACTCGTGATATATTTTATCGATATTTACATAACTTGAAGTGAACTTATTTCAAATTCTTTAAATAAACTGGAATATCTCCCTTGTTTTACTATTTATTGCAAAGCAAATTATCATATATTTCAACACAAACTATAGTAAAAAAAAAAAAAAACAATCAAAATAAATATGAGTGTGTTATATTGATATTATTTCAGTTTATGACGCTATTTAGAAGTTATAACATCTAGAAAATTAAAATGACTATTTTATAATTTTTTTTTAAGGTTCTGAACTAAAAACAAACACGTTATCTGCTGGAAACATAATGACACAAACTAAAACATTCTTTACTTTGCTTCCTTCAAAGTCAAATAAATACGAGTTTGTCATATTAATATCATTTCAGTTTATAAAACTATTTAGAAGTTATAACATCTAGAAAATTAAAATAACTGCTCTATAAAAGCTTGAGGGGACTTCGGCTGTAGCTTATACCTGTCTAAAAAATAATCCGGCCCTGAGTACAACCCGAATCTATAACTATTTCACAACTCTTTTCGGTACATGGCAATGTAACCACTGGTCGTATTCGATTTCGTGCAAGTATCCTTGAAAAATTATGTATCCCTCTCCTCCTCATAACTATGGGTTAAATAGTAGGACTTGTAATAGAAAATCATTGTAATTCCCAAAAAATTGTTAATGCAATATTCAGTCGAATAAAAAAAAAAGAAAAAAAGTAATTCTTAAAATATGTTTCGACTTAAAATCTTTCATAATAAGCCTTAAAAATCAATCAAGCAATCGATAAAGTACGGGGCAGTGTCTTATAGAATGATTACTCACCGTCTGCTCAATGAGGTCAAAATATGTTATAAGAACTAAGAAGATATCCGAAAGATCGATTACTGATATCGAAAATCTGATATTAACGACATATATCTTCTACAAAAGTTTTTTTGTTTTTTTATGAAACATGCTTCAACATACTCAGTATCAAGTCAACTTGAGTTTACAATTAACAAAACAGTTTTCCCGCTGTTATATTTGTGTTGTCAAACTCAAATCCACAGCATTTACAAATTCATGGGCCAAAAATGACACTGAACATGTGATACAATGAGTTATATCCTTCAACTCAACTGTTGGTCGTTTCAACGCAAAACGCACAACAGGCTTATTACTTCACAATCGCTGACAAAACTAATCTGGCCGTTAGTCTCGAAAAGAACCCCTCTAATTGGTTGTAGACTGGGGTAGGAATTGGCTGGTTAACATTTAATGCCTCTAAAATAAAACTGCTCTCTATTATTCACCAGCCTCCCTGCCTGCCATTAGAATGTCTGATGCTCAACTCCACAAGAGCACCTCTTTGCGACTGCTTGGTCTCACACTGTCCGCTGACCTGAGATGGAACAATTACATTGAATCAATAGCTTCATCTACCGCAAGGAAAGTTGGTTCCCTGTGTCGTGACAAAAAGGTTTTCTCGCCGGAGTCCATCCTTCAAATCTATAAATCAACCATTCGCCCTTGCATGGATTATTGCTGCCATATATGGTCTGGTGCCCACGCTGTTCGCCTTAAGGTCCACAACAAGATCCAGAGACGGATATGCAATGTGGTTGGTCCTGATCTGGCATCTCGTCTACAGTCGCTCTCTCACAGACGTGCCGTAGCCTCCCTCTGTATTTTTTACAAATACTTTCTTGATAACTGCTCCGACGAGCTACTTTCGCTAGTTCCCAGACTGCATGAATTTAAGCATGCTACTATGCTGGCATCACGGTCCCACCATTTCACTGTCGAAACAGTTAAATGTGGCCGTCTCTTCTACTTCAATAGTTTCATGTCACCTCTCGCCTGTGGAACTTCCTCCCCATTTCTTGTTTCCTTGATAGCTATAATCTCCAACTATTCAAATTTAATGTCAATCGACATCAGATGCCCTGACCTATTCCCTGTCCTTCTAGTCATCCTTTCCTCCATCACGTCTCTTTACTCTCGCTCCCAGTCTGTAACCCCCTTGCGTGCTAGTGGCACCCCGCCTTGCTTGGGGCGAAATGCTTAAAAATAAAAACTGACACAAAAACAAATTTTGACGGTATCACTGATTCATCTTTCCAAGTAATTCAGACAAACATTCTTTCTTATTGACATGTTCACTCAAATCTCAATTTGATGATTCAAATCTCACCCCCCTCCGTCACGCTACGTAAAATGATAACACTTAAAAATTTCTACATTTTGGTAATATACATGCTTCCAATCTGGGAGGAATATTGTCGAATTACATTATCTTGTCCGCCCGGGGATTTTTTTTAACGCTCGCTAGGTGCTGTTGTATAAAACAGTCTATAAATAAAAAGGCGTAGGGTCCTTCCTTCTTTCTTTCGCTTTCATCTCTTCAGTAACAGGATGCCTTTGGGACAAAACATATCTCGTTTCCCCCTCAGGGGGACTTTTCAGTCCCCAGCGAACTACGTGTTCCATAAACAATTTCAACAACTGTTAATATCGCTATTCAATTATAATGGAATTTATTTATTGTTTACGAATGTTCCCAGTATTACTTATCTAGAGATTAAATAAACAGCTAAAAACTTTTTTGGGAGGGGGAATCTTTACACGTTACTAATATGTTAGATGAAAAAACAGTTTGTTTTTTAAGATTAATATATGATTACTTGGGATTATTTGCATTTTTTAAAATTTATTTGTAAAATTGTTTTTTGCCTAGAAGTGAGTGGAATCTGTACCAACCGGAGCTTCTTGGATCCGCGTGTATAATTGTGGCCAACCTGTGAATCTTGAACTTACTATAAAAGTCGACTTATTCCCACAAAATTACCTTACGGCATGCGCCAGTAAAATAAAAAGAGAGAGAGTATTTTATTTTTAATGAAGAGAATAACAGAAATGACAGGAGAAGGAAAGCGGCGTTAAATAAATAGCTAGCTAGATAAAAAGTGGGGGGAGGATAAGAAAGGAGTAGATAAAGAAGTTGTAAGATATATAAACAAATCAGAAAAGAAAAGAATAAAGAAACTTGTTGTTGTGGTGGGGGGGGTAGTGTAAATAAAAATACTTAAAATAACGGCGGTAAAAAACATAAGAAAAGAAAAATGACAGAGAGAAGAAAGGAAAAGGAGAAAAGCAAGAAGTGAAGAAAAAAAAAACAGAAAGAAATAAGAAGGAAGATAAGAAAGAAGAAAGTGTAAAATAATTAACAAAGAAAGAAAAGAAAAGAAACGTGAAAAGAAATAAAAAAAGAATATTTTTTTTTAAGCATTTCACCCCAAGCAAGGCAGAATGCGACCAACACGCAAGGGGTTACAAAGAGTGGGAGCAAGAGTAAAGAGGCGTGATAGAGATAAAGGATGAAGAGAAGGACAGGGAATAGATCAAGGCATCTAGAGATGTCGATTGACATTACTTTTGAATAGCTGGAGATTTTAGCTATCAGGGAAACAAGTACTAGGAAAAGAATTCCACAGACGGGAGTAGCGAGACATAAAGCTATTGCAAAAAAAGGAAAAAACAAGAAAAGAAAGAAACAAAAACACAAAATTTTTAACGGTAAAGTTTACCCTGTACAAGGCTCGGGGGGCACTCGAGATAGAGGATTACGCTAAAGGCTAGTTTATATGGATATGAGTGGAAGATAAACGGTTAACACTAGCCTTGAACTGGTTAAGTTTGTAGTGATCGGGGAAACATCATCTTGGGAGTCGGTTCCATAGGGCAATGACTCAATGGAAGAAGCTGTTTGAGTGGAACTTGATTCTCGCCGATGGAACACGGTGGGAATGTGGGTGGGTCGCTACTATATAAGTGGCATGGCAGGTCCTTATCGCGAAGGCTAGACTTGGCGGAACCAAAGAATGTAGTTTGTCTGAGTACTTTTCCATCGAAGTAGTGAGCAGAGTGAGAGGTTTGCCACACCCCGCCTGTGAGAGTGAGAGGTTAGAGGGTGGAAAATAATTCTTCTCCAAGAACTCAGAGACGCTTTTGAACTCTATCAAGACTTGAAAGGGGGGACGGGGCAACAGTACTCTATTTTCGGCCTGATCTGGTTCTTATAAAGGAAGAGAATAAAGAAAAGAATAAGAAAGATGAAAAAAAAATTAATAAAAGACGGAAAAAATAGAAATGAATTGAGTAAAAATGTTAAAGAAATAAAAATAAATTTTAAATAGCAGTAAAATGAACAGGAATAAAACCGACTGAATGAAAAACTGAAACAAAAAAGTCTTACGGCCAAATCACTTTGAAATACCGTTTCCCGTACGATCATCGATGTTAAGCAACGTCGAACCTGGTTAATACCTAGATGGGTGACAGCTTGGGAATACCAAGTTTGGATATGCGGGTGGTGTAATCGATAAGGGCTCGGATTTGTTAATCAGAGAACCGCGTTCCAATTCCAGTTGGGTTCTTTATATTTACTTACGTGTAAATAACCTGAGGAAAGGTATGAATCCACCTCTTCTCCCCAACTAAGGATTAATTAGTAAGACATGTATCACAAAAACAATTATTATCTCCCCACTCTCCCGACAAAAATTCTTACAATCTAAAATATTTTCTGGTTTTAAATAACCTGCAAAGTGCTGATAAGCCGCAGAAGACGAATCAATCAATCAAACAATGACAGATATAAACGAAAGAAATGAAAAAAAAAGAAGAAAACTACAAAAAGAAATCGAAAGGGAAAGAAAAAGAAACAGAACGACCCCACCACAACCAAAAAAATAAAAAAAATAAAAAAATAAAAAAAATAAAAAAAATAAAAAAATAAAAAAAATAAAAAATATAAAAAAAATAAAATAAAACAAAGAGCACGAAACCTGCGAAGGAAAAAAAATGTAAATCAATAGATTACAAGAAAAGCTGAGTTCTTTGACGAAGAATTCGGATTAAGCCTCCGGAGTAGAGATCTTTCTGACCAATTCCATACGACGATAATAACAGAGGAAATCAAAAATGAAAAAAGAAAATAGAAAAAAAAGGAATAAACTAAAAACAATTCTAATAAGAGAATAATGCTAATTTTAATAGATTTATTCCAACCTAACCATCTGCCTTCATCTATGAATGCACAGTGATCAGAAATGCGAGACTTTTCTCCACTAATCTGTTTCCGATAAGCCACTTGTGTTTGTAATCAGTGTATGCATATCCAATCGTCGTTTCTGGCAGAGATTGGAAATTGCCTGCAACCAATGAAAGTCGGTAAATACGATTAATTCAGGAAAGAAAAAAAACTCTCAGAAATGGAAAATAAAGATGCATTATCTGTTTACGGGGAAATACTGACTCTGTCAATGAACTTAGTGATGTACATTTTTTTTCTTTCTGCTTACTTAAAGACTGATAGTTATTATGTATGTCCTTATCAAGAAGTAGAACTTAGCATTCCATATCGAACTCCTACTACTTGAATCGTACTGTAAAAAGGTGACGGGCGAATTTAAGTAATTTCCCAGTTGCCATGGTGATATGTACTACAGAAATAATAATAATAATAATAATAATAATAATAATAATAAATTATCTCTACAATTTATTTTATGCAGGTATTTTTTTAAAAAAATTCTGCTTTTAGAATCATTAAAAGTCAAAGTCTCCAAAGTTAATACAAACCAAAAAATTAAAAAAAAAAAAAAAAAAAAAAAAAAACAACGTTTCTGCAGCATGTTCTCCCTTATTTACTAAAGAGATGTTACATTGTTATGGTGACATCAAGTATATATTTTGCCTCTTATTACTATATCGCATTATTAAGGAGAGGATAGGCTGCATAACCGATAATGAAATTCACATGGCATTGAATTACAGAATAAAAGTAGATGTTTGACTCTCGTCCGGTTCCCATTCCTCCCGGTCTTTTGTTTATCTCTTGTTTGGGTTTCTAATTCCTTCAAAAATCTTCTCATTCTCTACAGTAGCCCATTGAGTCTTGGTGGCATCATCGCCTCGCACGAAGGGAATTGATTTAAAAAAAAAAATGGAAGATATTTATGTATGTCACACGCTTAGCTAACTTGTCTCTCAAAAGATTACTTGAACTGAATTGGATCCTCACTGAGTGCATTAAACTGTTGATCTTGTGTCATACTAATATAACCTTAAGCAATAATTTTGGATGTAGTGGTGAGTAATACTGTTAACGTAGACTTCGGTAGCGAAACGCACCACAATTGTAGCCTTGTGTTAAACTTAGCTTAAATATTTTAAGAAAATGTTTACATCCTCTTCATTCTGAACAAAGCTTCCAAACTCTAGTTTTTGTACAGTTGGAATACACGTATTATACTCTTCCTTTGTTGTGTCGGCGTCTCAGTGTCGGGTAATGGTTACTGGGGCTATTAATTGATAATCAGTATTGTGTTTGTTCCATACTGGGTGAAAGGCCGATATTACATAAGAATTCAGTGTTCGTTCCTTTGCTTCTAACGTATTTTCCTGTTTCTTAATACTTCCCTTAACTTTTGAAAGTCATCTTTTCCTATTCCAATATGCCTTCAGATTTGAAGTAGGCTAGAGCGTATAACGGCTGAAACGTTGTGCGTATAGCAATCAAGATGGACCCTGCTGTTCCCAATAATAAAGCTTAGAATAAAATAATTATTTAAATGTCCTCGAACCCTTTTGTAATAAGATCTTAAGAGGAATAGTTCGAATTAATTTTTAAGTTTCCACTACTTTCATTGATTACTGAATTATCGCAACCGAACCCTTTATTCCGCCCTCCGGGGTAGATTGTTCTAGTTCCACGTGCCAGGCCTATTCCAGATATCTTAGTTTCAGTTGTGTTCACCTCTGCTGTGGCCAGGTATTGAACTCACAACTCTTTGTTTCAAGACACTGGATTATTTCGGCCAAAGCTTTCATCCATGAGCCATATATAAATCAAAGACGGACCAGCAATATTATTTGTCCTGACCTGGCATCTCGGCTTCAGTCACTTTCCCACCGCCGTTATGTAGCTTCTCTGTGCCTTTTCTATAAATACTTTCATGGTAATTGTTCCGATGAGCTCTTTACTTTGGTGTTCTTCTCATCTGGGGAGATACACAAACGCGACCCCGTGTATGCGGGGTCTACGTGGAATTTTTGCCTGAGCCTACGGGCTTGAACTGCTCCACATAAAAACAGGCCTTGTGCCAAATCCTGCCTAGTGGGGAAGTCGTGTCCTTAAAGACACATAGCACAGTGGATAAAGGCGTTGGTTAGATAAAGTGACAGGCCGCAAAGAGTTGTGAGTTCAATACCTGGTTAAGGCAGTGGAGGACTTGGAGAGGTGAATTAACAGGAGATTGATAACTAACACCCATTAGACATGGCACGTAGAACTAGAACAGTCTACTCCAGCGAGCGAAATAAACGGTTCAGTTCGACATTCCAACCACCTGAAGAAGGCCGGAGTGTAGAACGGTCGAAACGTTGTGATAAATATGACTACAAAGATGAGGACAATAGTCCGACTAATGTAAATAGTGAATGTCAATCGCTATTGTCTTCCTGATTTTTCTTCTGTTGTTCTCGCTCAAAAATAATGCTTCCATTTTCTAATTCTTTCACACGTGATAACCTTTTTTTTAGTGGCTTTATTGCCTTTCTTGGGATATATATATATATATATATATATATATATATATATATTTAGATCTTGGTGTCTATCTTCCTACAGCGAGATCCGAACTTACTGGGATGATTGCACAGTGACGCCGCAAATGTTAATGTCAGTGGACAGGGAAATTAAACAACAATCATGTTTATTTGTTAGAGTCGACTGCAGTTGAGCCTGGTAAGGTTTCGGCTTTTATTATGCTTTACTGCACGGCCCTTCTACATATAGCTTTGATTTAGCATTTGACTGATTTAAGAATCGAAACATTTTCTGGATGTTATGGATTAAAAACACAAGAATAACCGTTCAGAAAAGATTTGTTTTTCTGGCTTCAAATCAATGTTTATTATCCAACTGGAGTCTGAGATCTGGATCGAGTCAGCAACAAAGGAGGAACGAAATTATGAATTCTCCTCCCTAGAGTAGGCGATAGTTTTCCGAGGAAACAAAGTCTGGCACAAGGCAATATTTATAAAGAATAAATTTAAAAAACAACATTAATTCTCTTCTCAACAGATTGTGAGATTAGCGACTTAAAAGAAATTGCAAATGTGCTAAAAAAAAATGAATATATTTTTTTTACTAGCATTTCGAGCTGTCTTTAGGCTAGACCCTGTGGAGGGCTTTTGAGCTTTTGGCCTTTTACATTTAGCGTTCTATAGACGTAAAAGTTATGAGGATTTAGAAATAACAAAATTATTTTATTTTTATTCGACACCTTATTTCGGCATAATCTTTCTTCGTATACGCAACCGATCCTCGTAGTTTGTTTACATTTATCTTGCGCGCAATTTTTATTCGCTTTTAAAAATCACCATTCTTTATGATCCTTTAACTCTTAAGTAACTCTTAAAAAAAATTAGAGAACCCGAACTATGTAATATTTCGAATACGTCACAGTACGTGTGCTAGAAAAAGAAAAAAAAAACGTATGAGCAACCCAACGTACCGTGCTCCGCTTAAGTTTTAATTGCAACGAAAAGCGAAATTAAAGTTAAACCTTTAATAAAGGATTGTTTTTTAATCCTTTCACGCTGTTCGATATTTAAGTTTAACTTTAAATGTTATTTATTTAATTTTTAATTGTGTGTAACTACAGTAGTTACTACCTATTATTTCAGGTTGCTTATGATTCTCCGAGATCGATCGACGGACGGACGGACGGACGTACACTGCGCTTTATTTATAATATAGATGTCTTCATTTGGTACTGATAAGAAATATTGGAGGATTTTCTGTTACTACTTTCCACATCAAATTTAAAAAAAAAAATAGAAAAAACAACCTAGCTGCCAAGAAAAAACATATAAACATGGCTTATTATTATATATCATATAATTCTTTTCTTCTTTAGTTCCTTAATGAGTTAGAACGTACGTTATGGCCTGCCATTCCCTTATAAATAATGGACTATTCTTGGCTCTGCTATGTCACGAAGGTAGAGTCAACTTGGGAAAAGAAGGTAAATAAAATAACTAAAATTCGACTTCGCACACGCGGCAATTTCTCTTTCTTCTCAACAACTATTCAGCTAATCTATTTCTTTTTCACGCGCGATCTCAAGAAACGCAACTCTAAGTAAAGATGTCTTTCATTAATATTACCACGTCTCATACAATATTAACATTTACTTTTGTTTTCTTTACTTGCTACGAAGTCAAAAGCAATGAAGTTGGTACTGGATGCAGTGATTATATTGTAGTAGTAGTAGGCAAAGTTGAGTT